AAAATGTGATCACTTATTTCGAAGACACTGGCGTATCCATCAACCGCATCAGAACATTAACAGGCCAATGCGCACATCTCCTTCTTAATTGGCAGGTGCAATTGTAGCCCATGAAACCCAAACTTTGACCCATATGGTGAACTGCTGTAGTCTGTGCTCCTTTCACGTAGGAGGAACAAACGCAAAAACGACACCAACTCTGTCCTGAAGCCTTCTCGTGGCTAGCAGACCTCAACATTGGCGTTAGCTTCTGAACGTAGGATGAGACAGATTTTTCTTAAAAAAATAGTTTAAGAGATATATATATTTACATAATACAATAACGGTAACAAGCGTTATCCCACATGTATATAAATAAAAACGTAATATGTTAACGAATAACAATGGTCTTAGAAGGGGAAAATATATAACAGGAAATGTTTGGAGCAATGGCCGTCTTCACAGCAAAAAAAAGAAAAAAAACGGGGCGATGAAGAAGGGCAATTTCTGTGAACGTTGCCTGTTCTATACTTTCACGGCCACAATAGTATTGGCAGACGTGTTGAGTTTTTTGTTGTTTGTGCTTTTGCACCACTGCCAATGCAGTATCGCCGATTGACTTGTTTCAGCGTTATTTTAGGTCAAACAATAATATGTAAACGTCACAAAACAGTTAGCGTTTAAATAACATTCATAACGAACCGTTGTTCACTCTATATACATTTTTACACAATTACACAATTTAAAAATGTAAAGCATTTTTCCCCATGCTGAAAGTGGGCCAGGGTCAAATGCCTGGCTTCCATATCAATACCACTAATAGTCCGGGTCAAAAGGTGAAAGTGTCTCCATTCTCCAATGGCGGCGTGGGTAAGCGCTCAAAAAAGAGTTGGAAATATCACATTGCTATGGCAGCAGTAGCCAGCGTTCCCACAGGATATCTGCCATTCAAATGTATGTATGTTGAACTTGTTTCGCACCGTACATAGCCAACCGTGCTAATCGGAAGTGTGGTGGAAGGACAACGAACTAGACACAAAAAACAGTTCTAAAGAAATCAGTTTTCAATCTCAATTATTTAAAAGTGTAAAGCTCCAGTGGCTTCCTAATTTCGGGGGGAAGAGCATTCCAGACGGCCGTCTTTGTTCGATGGTTACCCAAAAGCCACTGCGAGGATGACCGGAGTTTGCATATGGTTTACGCTCCTTGACGAGATCAGCAAGCTACTGTGTTTCATTGTATTGTTCCCGAAGACATAACCGAATAAGTCCACCACCGACTTCCACCAGAGCTCACTGCCTCTGGTGGTGAATCAAACACAACAATACCATCCCGCCAGATTCAAGATACAACTCCTGTTTGGAGCATTTTGGTACATGTAGTGTCACATGCAAGTTTGAATCCATGCTTTTTGGATAATTACAAACCCTGTATCACAGAACATCAATGCAAATGCACACACATTTTCTGTAAACTCACCAATATAAAAAATTCAATTGGAGAATTGTGGGGAGGCCTTTATCCACCAGTGGAATAATAAAGCACTGCACAGTATTATTATTGCTTATGCATTCTTAATAAAACGTAGGTTTTCAATGCAATGATTCATATTTGTTGATGGGTTACACCACATGGTAGTTTTTATGCCAAAATTATTGTGATTAATGACAAGAATGTTGACCTAAAAAGTACCACTGTTCCTAACCGTAATACAAATGCGAAGCAACGTTTTCTTCAGTTTAGCATTTCCAAATCTTTTTACAAATATCTCCTCTTTCCCAACATGCATTGCGTGGTTTCAGAAAATGTCATTTTGCATGTTTGCTTTGCCCTCCACCATCAGTGCCCTGTTACATTAACACAATAAAGGGGTGATATAGCAAGCAACTGAAAGACGGAAGCAGCAAAAACCGAGATTGATCATTATAATTGGCCATTCACAAATGGTAGCTCTTCGGGAGAAATATGGAATGCCAAAACTCAAGATTGGGATATAATCTTAATATGAGTGTAATAATTGTATGTAGATCTCGAAAGTAAAACATATATCTATAGCCGAGGAATCAGATTGTCTCTCAGATTAAGAGGAGATAGTTCTAGATCTTAAACTTAAAAAGGTAAATTCTGCCCTTCACAGTATGAAAAAGGAGAAAACTCACAAATCACGTGGTATAACTGTGGACACCATCAAAGAAAATGGAAGCAAACAGCGGAACTAAATTAGCGAACATATTAAATAAATGTTTATAGAGCAATGACATACCACGATCAAATGGAATGATGCTTCATTCTTTTGCTCAAAAAGGCTGTAAAAGCTTTACGTGAAGACCTACAGCCATTGGCCTCTCATCGCCGAGTTTATCAATTGCTCACAAAGACCATTGGCAGAAACGTGTAGAGCACAACTGAACATGGCTACGAGCAGGGCTTTCTGAGAGGTTTCTTTATTGTCGACCATATGCAGACTCTCAATCAGATTCTTGAAAAGACAAACTGCATTTTAAGCAGTGGCGGCTCGTCAATAGAGGGCGCAGGGGCGCCGCCCCCATCAATATTCAAGAAATATACATATACAAAATTTATATAAAAATACATAAATAAAAAATTTTTTCATACGATGTGCCGGTTGGTAGTAAGAAAAGCATCAGCATTTAATAAAAACTGGCTTTAATCGGTCAACTATTTTCTATGTTTTTCAATGTGTTTCATGCGGGGCGCCGGACAAATGGATGTCTATGTGAGACTTTAAATTTTCGGACAGCATGTGACCTGAAGCTGGTCTCTAATTGGTTTCTTAAAGATTATCCTCGGGGCGCAAGTCGTTGCGTCCCTGGCCAATCAGAATTGGATACATGTTATTTTATCCAATCTGATTGGTTCTCGTCACCTGTCATTCAAATTTACGCTCTGGGCCACTACTGCGAGTGCGCAGGCGACACCACTTTGACACTTGCTAGGCTGATCAAATTTTTTGTGTAAACAATGGCAGCAGTTCATCCAAATTCTGTAATTTTTTTACAAAAAAACCCTTTCACAAGGCTTTCGCTGGAAGAAATAAAAAAGATAAAGGATCTCGGACCGGACCAACCCGATTTACAAATCCAGCAGCAGGCCAGTGACAGAGGACGAAGCTACACACGAAGCTTCACCCGCGCTTGTTATGAGAAACGGAGGTGGCTGGCTGGATGTGATGTTAGCAATTCTCTTTTTTGTTTTCCCTGTCTTTTATTTCAAAGTGTCGGCACTGAAGTTTTGTGGACAGCGACGGGGGTAAGAGACCTCAAACATCTCTCTGACAAATGCAAACGTCATGAAAGTAGCCGCAGCCATATTGATAATAGCATGAAACTAACGTTTTTATGTTCAAGTATGAAACATGCTTTTTGGTACTTTGGTCTGAAATGTATATAAAAGAGAAACATTTATGTTCAACTAGGAAACATGCTTTTTGGTACTTCTTTTGGTCTGAAATGTAAATAAAGATCATCAAAATTTATATTCAAGTAGTCAAAATGGTTTTTGGTACTGCTTTATGTTTATTTGCCCCCCTCAATAAAATAAAAAAAATGCGCCCCCCCAAAAATAAATATCACCAGCCGCCACTGATTTTAAGTAGGTATTATGAACTTCTTTTGCACCGTACGTAACCAACCATTGTACTTCATTGTCATTGAGCATGATGTCCAACGCTTTGCTCCAGCGGGAAGAGCGGAATGAAAGATATTGAGCCGAGCAACACGCAGCACAACCCGGAAACCCACTGCAGAGCTCCATTAAATCTGGTGTCAATCACCTTTGCTCTGCCCAGCGCAGGTTAACAACATTGACACCACTTGGCTGAAGCTACATAAATAATGATGACACGGGCAGGGCTCGTATCCACAATCAGATTTCCATCCCCAATCAGATTTCCATCAAATATAATCCTACTTTTTAAAATTATGCACATGCCCCCTTGAACCGCATCTTACATTTTTTTTAGACAGACATTAGAAAGCAGGATCAAGCTGTTTCCGATAAAAATATAATCCTCAACAATATATAACTCATGCCAATTTCATACCCATTTTCCACCGGCATGTCCAAGTTGTGGGTGGTTTCCGCTGGCTATTTGCCAGCGCCAAACTGCCATGACCAAACTGCCATGCGTCATAGGCTGGCCTCACAATACATTTGAATTTGGCTCAGGGCCAAGCAGGGCCAAAGGTGGGGCTAATGATGCATTCATTGCATTTAACATCGTTCAGTACACTCTAAGGATGATGAACAACACGGCATCACCATGTCATCCACGTGCATTTTGACCAGTTCGTACGTGTGTATGTATGTTGATTTTTTTTCACACCGTATATCGCCAACCGTGCTAATCGGAGGTGCGGGGGAAGGGCAAACACTAAACACAAACATCGGTTCTTATGAAATAAATTTTCAATCTATATTTAAAAGTGCAACGCTTCAGTGGTTTCCTAATGTCGGAAGGGAGAATTTTTCAGACGGCCGCAGAAGTGCATTTGAAAGCGCGCGATGCAGTAACTGTCTTTGTTCGATGGCTAGCCAAATGCTGCTGCGAGGATGACCGGAGTTCGCATGATGGTTTATGCTCCTTGACGAGATCAGCAAGGTGTTGTGGTCCATGCATTCGGCAACCGGAAGCCAATGCAGCTCGGCGAACACTGGACGGACATGATCAGATCTTGCAGTACCCATCACGGCACGCGCAAAAGAGTTTCGTACATGCTGAAACTTGGTAATATTTTTGCCGGACGTCCTGTAGCATAGCGAGTTGCAATGATCGAGCCTTGTCGATACAACGCTACACGCCACCCACCGTGTTGGTTACGTCACGACTCAATAGTGGTCGAATGCGTCGTAGAGCCCTGATGTATTCGTGGCACGGCTCCGTTTCCTCAGTGCACTGCGAGCCGTTCCACGGTATCAGTGCGGGGCTCGGTTGCGCAGTGGGAAAGAGGTAAATGAGTTCATGTGGAAACAAGGACAGAGAAGTTGCACGTGAGCAGTACCTGTTGTCGTTTCTCAGACTCCAGTTTCATGCGTGAGCGGATGCAGTTGCAGGTGTCGTCGAAGGTCTGCTTCAGGGCGACGTCCATGAGGTACTTGTGGTAGGCGCCGGCAAGATTCCCACACACGAAGATCACCGTGTTGGCCAGCAGCTGTGGGGGAACAGTAGAGGAGGTGGGGCGACGTGGGAAGGCGGAGGTGAAATAACAAATCGTGCTTGGAAAGGATACACAGCACGCAGAGGTGCAAACTTTTTATATTTTTGTTAAATTAATTGGAAGTCAAAAGATTTTCCTGCTCGTACGGGAAGTGCGATGGCACTCATCCCTGTTGGCTCCCGGGCCATTGGCTAACTACTCTTGACATCCCACGTAATTGTATACAATTCCGGAGGGATGATGAGCTGAGTCGGAGGTCATCCCTGAATCGGATTTTGAAGCTGGGCGCACGACCTTCTGGTGAGACAAGTCGATTCTCGTGAAGCCGCGTTGGCGGCGTGTACGCCGCTGGTGTACACAGCAAAGGATTGGACACGCTCGCCAGTTTCGCTGCTTTGAAATGGAAACCAAAATTGGACAACAGGCGACATTTCGAGCAATGGGCCTCCTTCATCAGGGCGCGTGCACACGTTGCGTTCACCTGCTCGTGACATTAGTTCGGCTACACCGGGCAATTGTGAAATATAATTATATTAATGATGATTCATAACAATAATTGTGTTATCCTTTTAAGAGGACTGGCTGTAAATGAATACAACTCGAGAGAAACACGCCCGTGACATTGCCACGGATCGAGCAATAGCCTATTGTTTTCACTTCCTTGCATTGGAGAACTAACGCTCCCATATAAATGGGTGCTTATTTACTTGAAGTGTCACTTATTCAAGTCAATATATCTTGACTTAAAGCTTTCGTGACTGCAGGAATTCATATTCTTTGTGTCTTTCGGTAAAGCCATGTAGATAAAAAAAAAATTCTATCTACGTGGCTTTACAGAACGACCCAAAGAATATCAATCTATCTTATGCACGTGTGTGTGAATGAGTGTGAACGAACACTCTTTCATTTCATAAGTACATCTGTGAATGTGTTAGACGGGCTTATACATTTGTGCATTCATTCGCAAGAGCGTAGGAGGAGGTGAATTCGACTATGCGCAAGTAAATGCATGCCAGGAGAGAAGCCAACGTTATGATCTCAAGGCCACGGAATTTGAAGTAACATTGGCCTTTGGAGGGCAAAAAAGAACACACAAGTCTCATTAAATAATGCAAATTAGAAATTCCAAGTGCGAGACGAATCGGAATATATGGTAAACAGAAACTATTTTGGATGTCCTTTACAGGCATTATTGAGTGAAACAGATTTCGCTGACTGCTTCCTGATGTTTGTGCCAATGTGCCCAGACACCGATCCATACTTTGGAAATGCTTTCAACACTTTACAATTTATTAAAGTCAATAATTGACGAATAAAAATGTGAAGTAAAGGATCAATGTCTTGTTGATAAAATGCAGATAGGGGTTAATGTCAACGTAGTTAAGTTTTCTAAATGTAAATAAACAAGCGGGGAGGGGTGGTTTATATTTTATATACAGTCCTGAGTCAGTGGCGGAAATGCCATACTCTCATGGTGGTGGCCAGTCTCTCTATAGGACAGTGAGTGTTGACTTCCACGAGGTAGAATTCATGTCATCAATCCCAGATAGGCCGGGCCAAACATGTGAGTAGGATTGCAACTGCCTGAATAAAGGCAGCAGAGTCCTGTGCGATGCAGAATTGATAAATCAGCTAAGTAGTTCTTTGTCAACATATGAGTGCTCAAAGCAAGATGTAGGCAATATGATTAATCCTTAAATTGGACCAGTCCCAATCCCAAAACTTATATTCTACACACAATGCTTTTGTTAACAATTTAACAGTCGTGGCAGGTCACTGTTTGTCACATTTGATCACCTTCATAGATTATTTTTTTATTAAACCAAGTGAGAAAATATCGTCGACCTTCCTAAAAAGTGGATTGCCCTTGAATACCCGGTTGGTGGTGCTACTAAAGCAGAAATAATAACAACTTTGCACATTTGTTCATCACGTGACAACTTCATTCATCCGCTGCATCAGATGGAGGAGGGTTTACGACACGCAACATTTTACGTACATGATAAACCTTAATTCTAGATTTGAAGCTTTCGTGACTGCAAGGAATCATACTCTTAGGTTTTTTTCGGTAAAGTCACGTAGGTAAAAATAAAAAAATTATAGAAATAATAATAGAAATAAAATAATAAATCGTTTCGCATGAAGGAAGCTTGTGTTGCCTCCGAATCGTCGTGATTTGTTATTTTATTTATATTATTATTTCTATAATTTTTATTATTTATTTTTATTTTTACCTACGTTACTTTACCGAAAAAAACCTAAGAGTATGATAAACCTTGCTTGACTGGAGAATCTAGTCTGATCGTGGATGACAACAAATGGGATTCGAACTGGGACCTCGGTACTTTGACCTCAGGCAATAGCCCAAGGAGCCACCCTCCTACCTCCGTCACAGCGCATATTGAAACCAGCGCTGTTTGATGACATTGAAGAGGTTTACATGGTTCCTGACCACAAGCTTGGACGAATTAAGTGATGAAGGTCAGTTTCCGATGTAAATGAAGGCTCCACTCAAGGGGATTTCATCAGAATGCACCTTGACTAACATTTACATACATAAGCAAACAAATGAATCCATACGTACTTTTTTGTGCACAAGTAATTGAATAAACATGCCACAGAGGTGAGCACCCCCTAATTAGCCACATTTGCAGACGGAAACATTGATTATGCATAATGAAAACAGACCCGTAACTTAAAACCACCGAGTTAGAATCCCCAGAAACTCCGATGAAGAATTGAGTGTGCAAGTGTCATAGCAGTAGTTCAGTATAACAAAAACGACCCCCAAGGAAAGAGTAATGAATTGATAAAAATGAAACTCATTAGCGACTAACGCGCAATGATGTAATTGCCAGGACGGTGGTGGGTGGGAAGCGAGGGTTATTTTTGTATCGGACCATTAGCACTCGAGGCAGGGCAGCTGGCAGGCTCTGGTGGAAATGAGTCCCTGGAGGATGGCAGTACACCATTTTAACATTTGCTTGTGTTTGCTTGTATTCGCCTTATTCTCCACCGCATTCCCACCCTTTGTTTTTGTTCTACTAATTAAGGACAACCAGCCTGTTTCCTTGCACCATCCCCCCATGTTTAGCTGGCCGGGCAGCACTCTGAATGAGGCACAATCGGCTGTGAGTAAAAATTTCGGTCGTAGGTCAACTTGGCCTATTAAACCACTCCTCTGGTGTTGACAAACCTAGTTACCACTTTGTAGAGAAAAAAAACACGGTGGTTCTTTTGGTGGGACTGGTTGCTGCCCGAGAAGTGTAGAATTTTCCACGGCTGTGAACGCAGATGAGCAAAGCGACTCCTTTGACCTTGTCCGACTTATATTATTTGCGCATATGCAATCTAATTTCGATGTATCCATGCAGACGCATCTCCAGACGCATTACGCTCATGTACAAATTGAGAGGCTAATAAAGACTACGTATGAGTGCAGTGTGTGCCTACATTTGAGTGCGCTCTCACTATGGCAGGAAACGGGCGATAGTGAATGTGGCTCACGCCAGCGGTCTCATCACATTTGCCAACAACCTCGGGTCGCCATTATGCCAGCGCCCATTATGCCGGCCGGTGCACAGTGCCCATCTCTCCAGGGGTCCTACCACAGCGTGAATTCCGGTTCTCACTCACTATGATGAGTCCAGGGCCAAATCAAAACCCTAGCTGAGCCCCATCTGCCAGGGCTTGATTGCCCAGTGGCCAGGTTAGACAGGTGCCTATATGTGGTGACTGATGGAATCAGACGCAGGCAGCCTGGGACAACGGAGGCCGTGCTAGGTACATATTGGAGGCTCTCTGAAAATGGAAAACTTTTGCTAACCTGGACATTTTCACTTCCAGTGCCATACGAGTTATTTTTGAGAGAAAAAAAGGTCGATCTCTTCATTACTTCGGTGTTAGAGGGTGCAGCGGTGCTGCAGTGGCTCTTGCACTGCATTATGGAGGTTGATGCCCAGCCATGGCTAGTATAAATGATGAGCAATAAATGAAACAGTCCAACCCGCACTGAGCAGCATGGTGAAATATGGGCAGACAACCCCATGACCAATACAGCTTTGAGGAGGTCTTCATCCAGCAATGGATTGACAAAGGGCTGTACATTTCTTTAGACCTACTTTTTGTGTTTAGTTTGTTGTCCTTCGCAACTCCGATTAGCATGATCGGCTATGTACGTTGCGAAATAAGTTCAACATACATAGTATACACGATACAATACAAATAAAAACAAATTTGAAAATTGTATAATCTCATTCTTGGTCCTGTTTTATCGAAGTAAAAACCTGAAACTGCTTGCTGACGTCACTGCTGTTGGAACGGCCTCCGCTAGAGGGCGCATCAGAGAGCCCGTCGAGGGCATTTTGGCCGACTTGTATATATTTATGTTGAACAAAAACACTATTCCAAAGAAATTAGTTTTCAATCTCGGTTTTAAAGTCCCAGTCGCTTCGTAATACTGGGTTACGGAAGGGTCAGGTTCCCGAGAACGATCCGTAACCCGAATTTTCCGTATGTCGGAAATTGAACAATTTTCCGACAAAATGAATGAAAAAATCCCTATCGCTATCTGCATAGTGTTGCTGTACATCAGCTCTGTACTTCCTAGGATGCTTTCATTTAATCGAATATCTACCTTAACACTACTACCCATTATTAATCTAATAGAACATTTACGAATGCCACGAAACATTTTTTATATTAATTGCTAACAGAAAGCAGTCACTTCCGAATGTTCGTTTACCGTGCATTAGATTCGGCCTAGACTTCACATATACACACACAAAGACAAAGGTGGAGTAGGCTCGTCTACATAGACCCGCCATACGCCTCGCTACGCGGTATTCATCCACAACCTCACCGCGCTGTACTAATTTCGCTTACGTAACTAACGCAAAACTTTCTGCGTAATTTTTTTTTACATGATTTATGGCAGAATTTCCATAAAGTCGGATTTCCGTAAGTCGGGACTGCCTGTATCAGAAGGAAGAGCG